TCCCAACAGCCCCAGCCGGGAAGGGAAAGGCAGGCGGCAGCGACTCCACACCATTTTTTTTTTCAGAGGGGAATCTGACTCGAGTATAAGCCGAGGGGGATTTTTCCAGCACAAAAAATGGGCTGAAAAACTCGGCTTATACTCGAGTATATACGGTACTTAAAATGGAAAACCTGCTTAACAGCATTACCATTGATAGCCCAGTTATACAATTTCCGGTCTCTAGAGAACACCAATACTTTGGATTTGTCATAATTAATGGACAAGTAGTTCTCAGCACACTAAGACCCAAATGCAGAAAGTAATCTTTTCAGACCTGGCCTTGACAATGAAAGGAGGGCCGCATTGTCAGCATAAAGGAGAAGCAGGATCTTCGTAGTTGACAGCTTTGGGGCATGGGACTCTATACGTCCAATGTGAAAGGCCAAGTCAGACAAGAATAAATTAAACAAAAGAGGAGCCAGAACACAACCCTGCCTTACTCCGTTCTTAATCAGGATAGGATTTGAAAGTTCTCCCTGCAAACCACACCTGGCCTGACTAGAGGTCTAGTTGTACAAGAATCTAATTAGGAACAGAAGACGTCTATTGATAGAACTTTTGAGCAGTTTTGATCACAACAGTCCCTGACGCTGACTTTAGGTCGATAAAAGCAGTTAAAAGTTTGCCACCTGGTAGGGTAGTATATTTATCGACCAGGTGCGCTAAAACAAAGCAGTGGTCCAGTGTGGCACAGCCCACTTTAAACCCAATCTGTTCAGCACCAATAATATTAGATTCCTCAACCCAAGTGAGGAGTCTATGTTGGTCATATTTATGATGGTGACAGTGTCACAAGGTCATGTGAACTCTTTTTGGGACCTTCTGGCAAGCAAAGTCAATGGGGAAGCCAGATTCACTTAACAACCATGTTACTGTCTTAACTGCAGTAATTCACTTAACAACTGTGTCCAGAAAGGTTGTAAAATGGGGCAAAACTCACTTAACAAACATCTCACTTAGCAACAGAAATTTTGGGCTCAATTATGATCATAAGTCAAGAGCTGCCTGTAATTTTATTCCTTCATAGACTTGTAGGCAAGGCTTACAAATACCAAGGACCCCACAAGTTAATTTGTTCATTTGTAATTTTGAAAGGTTTTGCAAAGAAGACTTTGTAAGGTAGTGATTTCTAAAAGAAAAAAAAATGCACTTCTTCCCATATGGTTATGGAGTTAATTATTATGAAAATGACTCTAGAGGCATTCAGTTAAGAATCAGTCAAAAAGACAGGTGTGGTTTATTTACTAATTTGCCTACTTATTTTTCTGGAAGCAAAAATCTTCAAATTTGAGAGGAGGAAGCGATAAGCAGTCATCAAACACTGCAAAACGCCCCTTCAGATCTCATAGCTTATGTTGAAACTCTTTAATATTCCTGGTCCTAGGAGAGAGAACTAGCAAAGAACAACATTTATTCTACAATATATTACTTCAATATCTTTCCTGCAAAACAAAAAACAAAAAAAACCAACTTATGATAGAAGAGCCTTTGTAAAATTCTTCACTGTGATTAGAAGCCAGAACTGTCAGCCTCAAAACTTCTTCCCTTGTTCTTCTTTCTCACCTCTCCCTAGCCTCATATTTTTCTTGCAGGAGGACGTGTGTAAAAGCTACCCTGAGCTCTATGTAAGAGCAGGTAGGATGTAATTGGAAAGACTAATGTAACACATGTGTCCTCTTTGTGATAATCACACTCCAGGCATTCAGCTTCTGTGCCAGGTATGTTGTCCTTAAACAAGTACAATTAAGCACTTTCAAAAGTATTTGGCACTCCACCACTGACTATAAAAACATCTGCTCAAACTTTGCTTGTTGAGCAGGCCAAATTAAAGTGAGTTTCTTAATGAGATTCAGCTCCTTCCAATGTATGTTCAACAGTCAGAAACATCATATAAGCCTCCTTGGAAGTGGTAGGAAATGCTGGATAACTTTGACTAAAGTTTAAACTTCATTTAATGCAGAAGCATTGCAGTTACTTCTCCTGCTGGGAAAAAAAAAAACTTGCTACGCCAAAAAAGGAAAAAGATGCAAAATTTCAATGAACAGATCTGTAATTAACAGTCAGGATTGGTTTATACAAACATCATTTGTATATGCTGATTAATAAGAGGTATAGTGCACAGTTCTGTGATCTCAAAGAATGAAATATGAGGGCACCACAGCATTCCCATTAAATTAAATGAGAATGCCGTAAGATCTTTGCTATTGGCACCATAGAAGTCTTTCATGAATGGTAGCACTGTCATGGAAAGCTTTCTTTAATGGCTAGGGAACATATTAACTTTCTCCCTGGACAATCTAACCTGAATAACTTACTCTGGCAGCAATTTTCCTAATGTATTTGTTTCCTCTTTTTTATATATCCTTAATTCTAGTATGAAACCTAGCCATGCCTCTTGTTTTTGCTGGCTGTATCTTATTCTCCTATGGATAGGGAGAGAGTGAAACAGAGACTCTTTTATTTGCACACATTAGAAGATGGATTTGATAAAGAGCAGAATCATCCATCAGAATTGGAAAAAAAAATACTTTCATTGGGGTGAACAGAGACTAGGAAAGTCACACAAAGACAGCCTAGCTCTTCAACACAGAGGTGCCATTAAAACAGGGCAATGGGGTCTTAATTGGATCTTATCTTCTTCTGTGAGTACCTCTCTTAACTTGAATCTTAATTACATGTAATAAGCTATGCCAATTTCAGTCTGTACTTACCAAAGCTCTTCCAGGCTACATGTTTGCATGATATACCCAGAAATTCTTGCCAGTATAGTACATATTAAAAGGAGGCTTCCACTCTATGTTGGTAATCAAGAATTCCCTACCCAAACACAATCCTAGGAGTTGACCAATGCAAAAAAGTATTCAATGAAATGATCTAACCTTGGCTTCTTCCTAGCAAATAGGAAGGAAAGATGGGAATGTTGCACTAACAGAAAAATAGGATAGTCGTCCAGAGACACTTCATTCAGTAATGGACAATTTCTCCAAGAGTGAAACACCAGTGCAAATGCCTTTGATTTATTGGTTGCCATAAGATTATATTCAGAGTAAAATCAGCATTTCTCCAGTATATAATATAGCAAATGATTCTTATCTGAAGGGAATATGTAGACCAGGGTCTTCAAACTTGACAGCTTTAAGACTTGTGGACTTCAACTCCCAGAATTCCTCCTCCAGTCATGTTAGCTCAGGAATTCTGGGAGTTGAAGTTCACAAGTCTTAAACTTGCCAAGTTTGAAGACCCTTGATGTAGACATTGCATGATATAGCTGTGACTTTGTGCAGTCTAAATGTTGCAAAACAAGTAATTAAACATTGCTTAAAAGGGGGACCTTGCCTATAGATTCCACAACTTAACATGACTGGTGAATTCAGTAACTATGATCGTAATTGTAACAACCACAACATAACCTTTATTATTGTCTGTGATCAAATTCTTACATAAATTCTGTAACAAATGAGAGAGAGGGCAGATATCCAGATGAGATAAAAAGTTGAGCAAATAAAAGAAAATAGATTGAAAAAATATAGGAGTGTGTGAATGTATTTGAGTCAGTGTTGATTCCTGGTGTCTGCTGGACTGGTCCCTGAAATTTTCTTGGCAAGATTTTGGAAGTGGTTTTGCCATTATCCACTTCCTAGGACTGAAAGAGTGTGAATGACACAAGATCATCGAGTTAGCTTTATATCTAGGCAAGACTAAAACTCACAATCTCCCAGTTTCTAGCCTGGTACCAAGCTGTCCCTTGGAATATTGGAATTAGATTGTGATATATAGAGAATTAAATTGCAAAAGTACTTCACTGTTAAATAAATATATCTCACATTGGTCAATCACAAGATACTGAGATATTGACATGTTGATTTAACACTTGCTTCCCTGAAAAGTAACATTGATGTCAGACCTATAAGGTAGACAAGATCAAGAAAACAACTCCACAGGAAGACTAGAAAAACTTTTGATAATATCAGAATAGAAATATGGTAAATAAATAAATATGTAAATAAATAAATAAATTTTCAATTTGTAGAGAACCTTATTGAAATAAATCAAATTTCATTGTTTGACCTCTGTGCCATCTTTCTTGAAGACTAGTAGTCTCAGGGACGGTAGTGATAAGCCATAGACTTTAGGTCCGCAATTATTCTTTTAAAACATGTGAATTTGAAGTTCTTTCAAAATGTTCAGGGACCCAAAGGGTCTCAAACTAAATTATATTTAAGCAGCTAAATTATGTACACAATGTTACAGAGCACAACAGGTCACATTACAGCCTATCAAGAAAGAAAGACCTTTAAGAATATACACTGGGCATTCCAGAAGTTACTTAAAATAATACTTGTCCATAGAGTGTTGGAGATGAGTTCACTGCTAACTGCTAACTTCATATATACATAAGAAATTTAGAATATATATATGTGTGTTTTCTTAAGTTTTCGCAGGTATTTATATGTATGGTATTCAGCTTTGTTCGGGTATTTTCCCATGTCATTATAGTTGTGCTTTTAAAGTTGTAGCAACGTTTTGGCAGAATCTCATCTGCCATCATCAGGCTTGTGTATTGTGTTTGTCTGTGAGTCAGGCTTTCACAGCCGTTTCTGTTTTAAATTTGGTGCTAGCCTACTGCTGTACCAGAATGGTTTTTTCTTCATCCTGATTGGTTGGGAGTCTTAGTCTGTGTTTATTGGTCTTGGAGTTTGCTGTGTTCTGCTTGATTGGTGTTTCTAATATCTTCTGTCTGTTTTGTAGCTTTTTTTTGTAGCTCCACAGTCTGGTGGAGTCATCTCTTCTATTTTATACCAGACTGTCAATTATTTGGAAGCCTGCTTCACAAACAAAAAAATCTCCACACCACAAGCCAGGCAAACACCTGGGCACAAACACACACACACACCCGATACCTCCAGCTCAAACACACCCCAACCAGGCACCCAGATGAAACCTAGCTTCCTAATAAATGATAGCCATCCATTTACTCGGAGCCAAGCCGCACTAAAAGCCTCCAATACAGGAAACACAATGTTGCCAGCCAATCAAGAAAAAAAAAGCTACAAAACAGACAGAAGATATTAGAAACACCAACACTGTGTCAGACGAACACAATACAGAAGCCTGATGATGGCAGATGAGATTCTGCCGAAACATTGCTACAACTTTAAAAGCACAACTATAATGACATGGGAAAATACCCGAACAAAGCTGAATACCGTACTTACACGTATGGTATTCAGCTTTGTTCGGGTATTTTCCCACATATACACAGCCCATTATACCAACATCAACTCCATCAACCAATCAAGAGGTAGCAGCGCAGCCAACCAGCCCAGCACACCAGCCCCCACCACCAGTATTTATAGAGAGACGGCAGCTCAGATCACACACTGCTTGCATTGGCACGAAGCAGAAAGCACCAGCCTGAGGATGGCGAGTGGGACCTCGCCGAAACATCACCAAGATACTCTTAATCTTACACGGGAAAAGACCCGAACACACCTCGGCCTACATATATATATATATATTTCATTTCTTAACATGGGTATTTTCATTGAGTGGTTTGTAAACTGTTGTCAATTTTTCTTCATTTAGCAGTATAGTAATAATAAATAATAATAGCAATAATAATAACTCCATCTGGCTGTTGTCAATATGAGTTACCTAGCATTTATGTACAAAAAGAGCGAACAACCATCAGGTTTAGTCTGCATAATAATACTCCATATGCATGTTTTCTATTGTTTTAATGATTTTTTAAAAAAACAAATGATTAGAAAAAATAATTAAATTAAAACTTCTAATAATTCCCCAAAATATTGGATGGGTGGATGGATGGATGGATGGATGGAAGGAAGGAAGGAAGGAAGGAAGGAA